ACGAGAGAGAGAGAGAGAGAGGAAACTGGATCGAAAGCTCGAAACGCAAAGTTTCGCATCGAATATCATCGACGATCAAGGCGAGGATACGAAAGAAAGGGAAATGACCGGTTACGAGGGAAAATCCAGCGGACGGACGCAATCTAGCAAACTCTTGGGAGTTCAATCTCCTCTCTGAGATGAAAATACCTCGCTCGAACCCGATTTTTCCGCCACTCTTCGAAACGGACAAACATCTCCTCTCCTCTCTCGTTGTCCTCTGACGAATTAGAAGAACGAAGGAAGGGGATTTTCCAGATTGTATTCGAAGGAGGGATTCGAAGCGCCCATGAAAGTTCACACCTTCGTACCTCGTCGACTTTACGATCGCCTGATTCATGTACGGAATTTATTTCGAGGTTTATCATCCTCCTCCTCCTCCTCGACGATCCAATCGAAATCGAAGAGAGAGAGGGAGAGGCTCGATATATAGTTTTTAACTCGCGGTCACGTTTCTGGGATTAATGGGAAAAGCGTAAACAGGGAGAGAGAGAGAGAGAGTAAACGGCGAGCAACGTTGCACGACGATAAAATCTAAGGAGAGGAGGTGGGGGGGGAGAGGTTGCGCGGCGTCTTCGATTGGCTCATGAATTTTTCAACGGCCGCCATTTGTTTGAGCAGACTTAGAGCCAGCTGAGAACTGCACTTTTCACTCGACGTCGAGAGTGTAAAGGGGAGGAGGAGGGGAGGGGAGGAGGACGACGACTCTCGCGTCTCTGCTAAGTGGAGCATGTGTTTGTCCGCGTTTGGAAATGTTGGAAGAAGAAGAAGAAGAAGAAGAAGAAGAAGAAGAAGAACAACGTTAACGCGTTAGTTGCGAGATCGCATAAATAATCCAGCTCTCTCTCTCTCTCTCTCTCTCCCCCGATCTTCACGATCGATTCACCCTCGTCCCCCGAGCTAAATTTGTTCGACGACAGAAATTACGACACGCCGCTTTCGTCTTGATTGAAAACTCGCTGCTGAGAGAGAGAGAGAAGAAAAAAAATAAACAAATAAAATCTTACCGATCACGATGAGGCTGTAGCGAAAGCTGCGCGTCTGCCCTTTGCGAAAGTCGACTCTGCACCTGTAGGTGGCCGCGTCGTGCCTCTTGATGTCCTTGATCACGAGGATGGCTGGGCTCTGCTGTAACTCGGTGTGGAAATACGCTCGCCGCCCGAACACGGTCGAGTCCGACGAGTGTTGAGCCTTGGTCACCGGTTTCTCGCGGGCGTCCATCCTGCAAAACGAGGAGAAGAGGAGAGAGATCTTCAGAGATCGATATAATTCTTTTCTGTTTTATCTCTTCGGATTTTCGGTCGGAATCGTCGTTTTCCAGGGAAATGAAAATTTATCGGGGGATGGGTTAACGTGATTATAAACGTAATTCGCGCGTGACAATGGCGCGTGGTGGGAATGATCGATAATTTGGAGTAAGTAGTTCGTTCCGAAATATAATAATCGTTATTGCGTTACGTGGCTCGATCGAGGCGAGGCAACGCGATTCCCCGAACGTAATTTCTTTCGAATAGAGGAGGAGGAGGAAGGAAAGGAAAATAGTTTTCAACGTTTAAAACTCGCTCCCCTTTTTTCCCCCTTTTCGAATGTATCGAAGATGGACAAAATTCCAATTTATAAAAAATAACATGTAAAACTCTTAAATTTTCAATCTCCTCTTTTTTCAAACGTATATTTGTATATTTAAATATCTACTTCGATTTAATGATCGTTATAAATTATCGATAAGTTAAATCGGTTCATGTTAGAGAATCGTTCGATATTTGTATTCATTCTATATATATATATATATACTCTTTACACGTTACAACCTTTAAAAAAAAATATCGTTTGCTGAAAATGTAAATCTCGACGGGAGAGAAAAATAATAATTTTGTCCAATCGTTCGCGTACAACTGTTCGCGACGCGCCGAAAAGCACGAACGAAAAGAGATACTCGATATAGCATTGCTCGCATTCCCGGGGACTTTGGAGTGGAACCGTGCCGGCGGAAACTACTTCTTGTCCGCCCTTTGTCTTCGTCCTTTCCCCTCCCCTATACTCGGCTCGTTTTTTCTTGGCCGGGACGGAATCCCAAGAATTCGCGGAACGGCCCGCGGTATTCGATACGTATGTAGGAAACGATCGCAATTCCCAGCCCAATGAAATTCGAATCTGAGCGCGCAGAGAGTTTCGTCGTTCTAAGAGGTTGGATAGAAACGGACGGGTCCGAAAAACTCTCCTCGATTACGATTCGTAACGATAGGTGGCGGGTCGGTCGGCGACCACCGACCCGTCATCTACCTCGCTCTGTTCCGGCTGTTATTGCTCGCCTATTAGAGAATATAATTATTTCGAATCGATGAAATAATTATCGCGGCGCGGCCGACCAGAGATAACGCAATTAAACGCACCCTCCCCCTCCTTCTATTGTCGGCCGGATACGAGCAATTTTCCATTGCCGTCGAAATACACGTGCGCGTTTCTTTCTTTCTTTCTTTCTTTTTTGGTCTCGTTCAGGGGGGATATTTATTCGTCGGGAGCAAGGGGATAACTTTCAACGATCGACCGGTTATTGTCGAGAAAGAGAGAGCGTGTAATTATTATTTTATTCCCCGGGTATTGTGTGCGCACAACGCGTGACAGCAACACAATCGTCGAAACCTGGTTAATGTTGACTTTTTCTCCCTCCACGATCAATCGATATCCTCGTCGAAATATCTCTCTCTCTCTCTCTCTCTCTCGTGCCTTTTCGATTCTTCTTCTCTTCGAAATTCAACGAACGAGCCCTCGTTTACGATCGCTTATTCATTTTTCATTTCGGCTGGATCGTTACGGCAGGCCACGTCATTTTTAAACGGTAAAATTTTCCCGGTGGAGTTGCGAAGGGAATCGCGGAATGAACGATCGAACACGAAAGACGACGACGACGACGACGACGACGGTGGCGGCGGCTAAAAGGGCGGAGATTGATGAACCTGGGGATGGGTCGTGTATCGAACGAATGGATTAAAGTAAGGGCGAAAATTTCCTTTTTCTCGATCATCCTTTTTAATCCCTTTCTTTCTCTCGAACGATGATCGATGTCGCCAAGTCGTGTATCAACTCGAGAGAAGATATTATCGCCCAGTATCGAATCTCTCTCGTGAATCCTATCTTAATTCGCACGCGATATTTAACGGAGAATCCTCTTTAATTTATATTGTTCGTCGAGCGTTTTTCCTTTTAAAACAAATAATATAAATTATTAATCGTTTCTCGCTGCAAATTTAATAAAAGGATAAAATAATACCGATTAAAATCGGGCGAATGAAACTCGTTTCTGTCTCCTTCCTACTTTTCTTTCTTTTCACGCGTAAACTTGACGGATTCGGTCTCGGTTGCTCGACTCTCGCCAATCTCGTTATATCGTCTTGAAAATTTTTTAAAACAGTTACGGTACACCGAGCGATACACGTTTCGCTCTGTGATATTCATTAACGAATATTGCCGTTAAAAACATCCGCGCGCCTGCGTTATTTTAACGGACGATAAAAGGGAAAATGGAAATGAAAAAAAAAAAAAAGAAAGAAAGAAGGAAATACCGTTATGAAACGGTTTAACGAGCCATAATTATGTGGCATTAGCCAAGGTTTTCCATACACCGTAATTAGGGGGGTTTTCGCGATTCTTCGCGTTTACGAGCCGCTACTGCCATCTCGATCCCGTAAAATTACGAAAAAAATCCCACCCGGTTTCCTCCTCTCGCGAGAAAAACTTTGCAACGGTTGATGATGAAAAGTAGAGGCGAGAGAGAATCGATTCGCGCATATTTTTTAAAGATTTTCAAACTCTTCCGGAAACAATTTTTCCTCGAAGCAACGCCAAGAATCGCAAGCTTCTTCTTCTTCTTCTTCTTCTTCTATCTCCGTGAAGATAAAGTTTCGCCGGTGAGAAACTGTTCTTTTTCCTTTTTTTTTAGCGTCCACTTTCCAAAAAAGGAAAGAAGATTCGTTCGAATCGATCGAGTTTCCCTCGAACGATGATCAACGCACGATGAGGAGGAGAAAAAGAGGAAAAAAGAGTCGAATGTCGGCCAAGGGAAGACGGTTGGTTAGATGGAACACGGCGGCGTACTTTTCAGCCGATTCCACGGCCTGCTCGATTCGATTCGAGTAACACGGATTCGATGCCTGTTTTATGAAACAGGTTTTATCTCGCCCTCCCCCGTTTTCCAATATTTCTCTTCCTTCCCTCGTCTCGTAAAAATGGGGCCTTTTTCTTTGTTTAATTAAGTTTCTCGACCTTCCACCGTTCAGGTGCCAACCCTGTCGATCGATCGATCATCGACCGGTAATTAACGCGTGCAAGGAAAATTTTCCTCGATGATTCAAGACGTTCTTTTCGTATGGGTCTACAATATTCCGCGTAATTACAGGGGGGTAGGAAGGAGTGGTAGCTACTTTTCCATTTCCTCCTTTTTTATCAACGTTTTGCCCCATTCGCGTCGCCTCTCCACCGCAAGCTTTCCTTCCTCCCTTTTCCCTCTCTGGTCTCGCGTTCTCCTCGTAAAAATGATGCACGTCCTCCGGGCAAAGGATAAATAGCGGCGAAATAAATGGAGACCATTTACTCGCGTCTCCATCTTCGAGAGTATCGTATCCCCCCCCTCCTCCTTTATTTATCGCCTACCTAATTTCGCGACGTTCTCTCGTACTTGTTTCACTCCTCGCCACAACTTTGTTATTCCTCCTTTCCTTTACAAATTTTTATACATACATATGTATACATATCTCATCTCTTCTCCTCCTGTTTTTACGACCGCCGGATATCTACGTTGTCACGGCAGACGGAGCGTTTTTTTCAAGAGACGGGAGGAGGAAGGTGTGTGTGTGTATATATATATAAATAAACGGTGAATTACGCGTGCACGGTTCGTTGGAAAAAAAGAAGAGAGAGAGAGAAATTCCAAAGTGATTAGAGACGGGCGATTAAAAGCAACCGTGGGTGCGATTTCCAGTCCGTTGGCCGTGCTGGCAGTACGTTTGGCATCCCAGCTCGTTCTCGTTCCTTTTTTCCTCTTTTTTTTTTTCCCCTCTCCCCCTCCTATTCCCCGTCCCGTGAAAATGATAAACGCGAGCGAAGCGCAGTAAACAAGAACGGAAGTAGGTGGTGCGCGCGCGCGCGCGCACTCGTCACAGTGGCCATGTGTCGCGGTTGCTACGCGGTTCCTCCGTTACGCGACCGTGAAATTTCACGGTTGATTTTAAATTGATTTTCGAGGTTAACATGGTATCTTACTTAGAAAATTAGTTAAAAAAATTATCTTCCAACAAGAAGATGGAAGAAATATTTTCGAAACTGTCTTCTTTCCTTCCTTCCTACGATGCACCATGTTGCTTGTTGTTTAACAACTTATTATCTCTCGCAACCGATGCAGAATTGATGGTTTCATACGAAATCCAAGTCTCTTCTCGAGAGCCTTTAAGTTTGAACTTGGCGCCGATCACGCGTGTACTCGAATCTCGTTCTCGCTATTTTTAAAGGAACGGTGTATCCGTTCAAACGAAACAATTTTTATTCTACGCGTCGAGATAGGGAAAGACGCGTTTGGAAAACGCGAGAGAGGAAAGAAGGGACAAATTCGAGGGAACACGATAACTCGCGATTGCTATTTGTTTTCACGTCCGCGCTGTCGGCGACAATGAGGCCTGGTCGAGAATGGGAAGTTGGTGAATATTTCCGCGTGGCGGGTTTCAGCAGAACGCTACTGCAACTCTTCATCCTTTTTTTTCATTCCTCGTCGATCGAGATTGCGAGATTATTTATATTGTTGCACGGATATTAGCCGAGCAGCTAGTTTTCGAAACCGAGGAGTTTTCCCTTTCCTTTTAATTAACTCGCAACGTTGGCGAGGATTTACGTTCGATTCGCGAAGGAAAAATGGCGCGTGTCGTAGGAAGAGGGGGCGGAGCAGGCTTGTGTAATTTTCTCTCGTCAACCTTTTCTCTTTTCTATTTCCGTTTCCGTGCGATACGCCTGTTTCCATTAAATAAAAACCCTCCCAAGCTTGCGAGAAGGAGAGCTCATAAATTGAATTTCCCCGGGAACTGTTCTCTCTAGGCGCGGTACGCGAAATTCTCGAATGGGATGAGCGGACGAGGACGAAAAGTACCGACAATAAAGGTAGCTCGGGCAAATATGAAACCATCCTTTGACGAACGAGTCGATAAGAACTGCGAGCGCGACGAAATTTCATCGCAG